TAAAACAGAAGATTTATTAGATGACAGGAACACAGTCCAAAACAGAGCTTGTAAGTACAGAAAACAGAACCCCTCAGTCAGGTCCATCTTGGAGAGTGGAGAGCCCAGACCCAGGTTCTGGGCCTCCCTGCATCTCCCCAGCAAGCTCCAAACTGAAACTCCCTCCAGCCCCTCCCCTCTGGCCATTGTCTCTTTCCCGGGCCAGGAGGCCACCTGACCTCTTTGTTCTCCAACACCTTTTCTCCAACACCCTTGCAGGGGAGGGGCCCAGGCTATCAATTGCCAGCAGACAGAGTGTCAGCCATTCTCTGTGAAGACCCCTGCCCTCTAGGGCTCTGCAACAATCACACCCCCTTATCCCATCACCTAGATTCTTAAGGGGTGGCAGTAGCGCACACCAGGGCCAGGGCAGGCTCCCTGCCTGCCTGCCTGCCCTGGCCCCACGCCGCGCTGGAAAGTGGCCGGAACCACATCCCTGTGCAGACCCTGGGGAAGGGTCGGGGCATAGGGCTCTGCGCGCTGCCTTTGCCATACTTCCAGATACCTCCCCCGAAGCTCCCATTGGCCACAGTTCCCCATTCCCGGCCAATGGGGGCTGCAGGGGGCGGTGCCTGGAGGCAAGGGAAATGCACGGAGCCCTCTGATGCCCATCCTGGGCCCCAGGGACATGGTGCTGGCCGCTTCTGAGAGCGGTGCAGGGCCTGCGGCACCACGGGGAGCAATCCCATGGGCCGGATACAAAGCCCTGATGGTCTGGATCCAGCCCACGGGCCGTAGTTTGCCCACCTCTGCTCTGGAGTGTGGGCACAATTCTGCTGAGCCTGTATCAGCCAGTGCTGGGAGGGATCCGATACAGCCGCCTCCTGCCCTCAGTGCAGAGAAACTGTGCAACAGAGAAACCTCAGGCCCAACAGGCAGCTGGCAAATGTAGAAATAGCCAAATGGCTGACTTCTCAGGCAACGAAAGGAGCAGGAGCGGATGGGGTGTGTGAGAGACACCAGGAGGCTCTGAAACTGTTCTGTGAAGAGGATCAAACCCCCATCTGTGTGGTGTGTGACAGATCCCAGGTGCACAGAGCTCACATGGTGGTTCCTATAGAGGAAGCTGTCCAGAAGTACAAGGTAGGGAATTGCTGTCAAATTGAATGGGTAATAACTTTGGATTTTAGGTACAAGGTTCATTTCAGTGGAAGTTGCCTGTTACAACTGTATCTGCATCATTCAGCTCTCCAAAGCCTTCATTATACGGCAGATACTATTGAAAAGTAAGTGATCTGTCATAGTGGCAAGAAGGGCAAAAAATAGCCTCTAAATATACCTGACATGGAAGACTTATCTGAAAAGCTGAATCCTTGTCAAAACCAGCTTCCACTGTGAAATAAGGGAACTTTTTTATCATAGGTGCCGACCGCGTGGGTTCTGTAGGCAGGCCCTGCTGATCAGTGCCTCCTGGCTGTTGAGCTCAGCTGTGGGGGCTTTGGCAGGAGAGGAGGAGTAAGGAGTGGCGCCCTCAGGGGACAGCGCAGAATGGTGGGAGTAGAGTTGGGGTGGGTCCTTGGGGAAAGGGGTGGAGTAGGGGCAGGGCGAACCCCTCTCCCTCTACCGGCACATTGGAAAGTTGGCATCTGTGCTTTTTACAGAACAGAAGCTGTTAAATGATCAGTGAGGCTTAAATCACAAGAGCTGCAGGCTGATCTATCTGAGAGTGCTGCCTTCGGGCTGGAGATGGGGAAGTTACAAGCTGTTGATGTGGTTACTGATTTGTATCATAGAACTTATTAGTTTTATTTGGTTCACAGCAGTCCCCACAGCCCTCAAATGAGATCTGAGCCCTGCATAAAAGACAATGAGGGACAATGCCCACCTTGAGCAGATTGCAGACAAAGTAGACAACACAGATAAAGGGTAGGGAAGGGAAACTGAGGGCAGTGACTTTTCCAAGGTCATGCAGCATGTCAGTGGCAGAATTGGGAATACAACCAAGATATCCAAAGGCCCAGTCCAGTGCCTGAACCGCTAGACCAGGCTGCCACCCCCACAGCAGCACTGTGCAGTGAGGAAGTGTGGCCATTAGGAAGGAAAGATTCCTTGATAAACACCCCAGGCCCAGAAGAGAGATGAGATTTCTCACCGGGATTCTGAATTCCCTTTTTGGTCCATCAAGGATTAAACTCAGATGCCGGCCTGCACTAGAGGAGGTCACTGTGCTAAATGCTGCATGGACCCTAAGCACCTTGAATCCACACACAAAAGGGCTCCAAAGAGCTCAGGTCCATGCCAAATACCACTGGGATTACACTGGATTGCAGCAAAACTAACCCCTGGGCGGTGCTGACCTGGGTCAGTCTGACCTGTTCTGTGGTGTACCTGGGCAAGGACCAGACTCAGCATTTTTCTAGCCCTCACTTTTGATCCCTGTTTAGTTTCCTGTGTCTCTTCCACTCTCCTCTCCTCCCTCCCACAGATCATCACCCGTGGCTGCTCCATTCTTTCCCTGATCTTATCCCTTCCCCTCTTGCTGCCCCAGTGAGTTCTAACCCCACAGATCTGCACAAAATGCTCCTTGGAGCTTCCAGCTGCTCCCCAACCCCCAAACCCGGATTGATTAATTCTGTGTCCCTGCCCGGCCAGTGCCTCTGCCTGTCCCCAGCCCGGCTGTTAGCACTAGCCCCTGCCCAGCCCCCAGGGAGTGGGGGAGGAGCTTCCACAGGTCATAGAGATGAGGAGCCAGGGGCTGGGTAGATGAGAGTCCTCCAAGATCATAGAGACTGGGTTCATGAGGCTAGAGAGGCTGATTTCCGGTTCCCCCTCTGCTGTGTGTCTCAGGGACACAGTCGGAGCCGGGATCCCCCCCCGAGCCAGAACCAGGGTCGGATTCTCTCCCCAGGGACGGAGCCTGGTGGGAAAGTGAAGATCGGGGCCTCGTCACCAGCATTGATAAATGTCACCTGCCCCCGGTCACAGTCCAGACAAACCCGGATCCTGCTGGGGGCCCGGCGCCGGGGCAGGGGGGTCACCGGGGAGGTGAGAGCCTGGAACTGACCCCCCCACCAGCACTCCACAGCCCAGATCCCCCCCTCAGGGCTAAGGCTGATCCATCCCTTCCTCCTCACAGACTCTCTGGCTACCCCCACAGCCCAGTATCCCCAACCCCCCACCTCCACCTCCCAGCAATGTCTCCCTGAGGTGAATCCCTCACAGCCCAGCACACAGGGCTCAGTGTCAAATCTCTCAGGGTTGTTGGTCAGTTGCTGCCGTTTCTCTCCCCGTCTCACACTTTTCCGATCCTCAGACAGTACGAGTTGGGGATGAGCCGTGTCTGGATCCAGAGTCACAGTCACCATCACTGGGGGGGAGGGGGAGGAGAGAATCAGAGCGTTAGGGGCAAACCGCAGCCCTGGGGGAGGGTTTGATCGGGCTAGTGACAAAATCTGCCCCAGCTGGAGAGTGACTCAGGGAATCTCCTTCCTCCAGGATGTACCCAGCTCTGAATGGGGAGCAGCTTTGAGATGTCAGCACAGTGCAGGGGAGAGTCACTCTTGAGGTAGGTGACAGAGCAAGAAGATTTGCTGAGCCGAGACTGAGACTCCGAATGTTTCTCATCCTGCTCTTTCCCTGGTGGGGACTAGAGACCCTGGAATCATAGGGAAGCCCCAGTAGATTTCCACTCATATCATTCACATGGTCACAATTATTTTTTCCCTAATGTGCCCTCGCTCACTTCATTTTAAAACCTTGGAGCTTGGTTCTCTTGTTGATGCAGCATGATGCCTGCTCCATCCTGCCCCATATCTGAGCACTGTAGATAATGACAAGATTCAATACATCCCTAACTAAAATTCTGTAGCTAGTCATCAGGACCAGCCAAAGAGAATTATCAGTCCAGATTTCAGTTTTTAAAATTGAGATTTTGATTTAGAAGCAAGGAGCTTCTACAAGAGAAAGAAATTAGGGGTGGAGAGAGGAGAAAGAGGGTTTGGAAATTAATTCATGAAGGAGAAGGTGGAAAGGATGGTTAAAAACAGCAGAAAGTTGGGAGTTGGTGGAGAGAGGAAAAAGGAGAGAAGAGAAAAGACGCAGAAGTTGAAGTCTGACTCCTTGGTTTGAACTCTGGGGACTGGTCACTCTTGTTCCTCTACCTAACACTAGGGCTGGGATCTTAATGGACAACAACTGCTCAGTCACTTGGAGCAGAATTATGGGAGAAATGTGTAAGGAGGGCATGTTGTGGTATTTCTTTCCTCTCCCTCCTTTGAACCTCAGCACTCTGTCTTTTCTGAACAGGGACAATATTATATTACACTTTCCTTCTTGTTTTTTGTGCAGTGAAAGGGAGCAGGATCTCCCATTGATTAAATAGGAGTTGTAATTACCTGTATCGCTTAGGGATCTCCTCCACTCTGAAAGCAAACACAGATGGGGATGAGAATTAAGCCAGACAAATTCAGCATCAATAGGATTCATTATCACAGAAAAGGCTGCATCAGAGAGAGAAACAAACAAAAAAATGCCCTTACCTAGGTCTACTTGAAGTTTACCTAAATAATAAACAAAAATAAAAGGACATCCTGTAAAAGCTTCTCCTGGGTGAAATTAACCGCCTGCCCCCCAATTATTGATAAATTGGCCTGTCTACTGTGCATTGTTTTACATCAGAACAAAGCTAGGGATTGGACACAGGATAAGTCACACCAGTGCAAGTCACTTTTTACACTGGTGCAGCTCTATAAAGGAAGGCATCCCAAAACTCTCTCAGTGGCCTTTATGCCAGCCTTATGGAGCTGGCATGGAGCCGTTTCTGCCACGGGCATCAAGTGCACAGTCCCCCGGTCACCCACTCCATGCTGCCTCCTGAACAGGGCCAGC